GGTCTTGTATGCCTGATGTAGGAGTTCTGAGACAGTTAAGCCTGGAGACAATAACATTAACTTGTTTTAGTCTCCCAAAAGCATCAGCACAGCTAAAGCTTTCTAGAACATCCCAAAGGTGGCTGGTCTCCTTAGAAATGGTTTCCAGGCTATTTCTAAATTATCTGCTGTCTCAGTGATTACTTCCTTAATGCCTTCCCTGACCACATGAGCAGTAAATGAGGACTCAGCTTGCACAGGGAAGTATCCCCTGAGGTATGAGGACTTCTGAGAAGGAGCAAGGCTGCTATGCACAAGAGGGGACAGAAGACAAAGGGGAAGTCTCAGTGAAGTCTCTATAGCGGGAGTTTGGAAATGCAGTGTTTGGAAGGTTTCACCTGGCTACAAAGCGATAGGCGGTTGGGAGAGCTGGGCAAGAGTCCATACAAGCTGGACTGGGCTGGGGTAGGAACTGGTGGTGAAAAAGAAGCTCTGAGCTGGAAGGTGTGGGGTGTGTCTCATTGTTCTGTTTGCTCTTGAGCTCAACCAGCCCAAAGAAGCGATGCTGGCTTGGTTTGCTCAGAATGGGAAGCCAGTCTCTTTCCTTTACAGATATTGGTATCAGCAGGTCTGACAATTCCTCAGGGGGATTTTTGAGGGACTGCTTAATGTCATGTCTACATGGACCCTGTGTCTGAAAAATTAGTATTCCCAGAACTGTTTTTTTGAAAGCAATGCTGCAGGACTTTTCCTTTATTTTTCTCTTTAAAAGGACTAACTTCATAAATTTTGTATGTGGCAGAACCTGCCTCTCCCTTTGCAATGGCTAGAGTATGCTTTTGCAGCCAGTTCTGCATACACAGGGAATAAGGGAGCAGGTGACTTCAACTTAACCTTCCCTCTGAGCTTGAAGAACAAGCCAAGACAATACAAAAGGGACCTTCTAAGAGACTTGTGCAGCTGCACAGCCCTTATACTGGCCCCATGATCTGTTTATCTTTTGCCTTCAAGGAAGTGTCAGAGTTAGGGGAAGCTCCCCCAAGTGGGATGGCTTAAAAAACTGTATCCTCTGCTGGGAAGTGCACATGCTTCTTTCTTTATAAGCCATTTGATATATTTTTCCTCTCTTTCTCTCCCCCTCCTCCCCTGGCAGCAGGATTTCTGGTCGTTGCATGCTTTTCATTAAATCTTTCTGATTGTAAGCTTGTATGTTCTGACACAGGGTCAAAGAGTACCATGGCAGGGATAAAACTCAGCAACAGAATGGAAAGATTTTTCTGGCTTTGATTACTGGACATCACCAGTTATTGCAGAGTGCATTCTTGGCTGGGGTCTGAAGACTCAGTTAAATGTCACCAAGAAAGGAGCATTCCATGATGCTCCTGAAACACTGAACTTCTCCTGAAATATGGGTGGGGGATGCATATGAGTTGTGTCTTGGCCAATTTCCAGCCTCTCTAATGTTACTGTCACTCTTATCCCACATGTCCTGCTTTTGCAGTGTCCATTGGAGGCGGTTATTTAACTTCCCTTGCTGATATGAACAACTGCCACTGTTGTGTTGTTGGGTTTAGGTTGTTTGTCTCTAATGAAAGCCCCACGCTTAGCTACGAACTCAAATAACCAATTGCTTACTCAGCTTTGCAGCTCTGTTATCTGAAGGTATAATCACTTCCTGCATCTTTGTTTGTCTTTGCCTCTGTTGCTGCTGTACCATGGTCTGGGAGGTACTGTGCTGCTCCTGCAGCTGCTGTTCTCTGCCCCAAGGCACATCAGCATGTGGGGAGGAAAAGCAGTTACTGGTTATTTCTGTGTCTTCTTTCGATGGTTTAGACACAGTCTGCTCTGTAACATGGAATATCAAAGCTGGCAGGAGAACACTTTCACCTACTTATTTCTGAGTGGGGGACAAGGAGTCTTTATGTCTTCTGTGAAGACTGTGGAGTTTGCACCTAAGGGGGACAGTGGCAAAATCCATCTGTAACCTCTGGGCAAGTGCAGAGAAGCCGAGGAGGTATAAGTCAGAGGGGGCTGATCCCGAGTTACCTGATATGAACATTTGTACTTAGATGACATGGAATCTGCAGGCATCTGTCTTGGTGGCTGGCTGTGATACTGGCCAAGGCTGCAAAAATGAAGTGTCAGGGCTCTGAGTGTACGTAATAGGACTTAACTGCCCTGGTGAGCCTGCCATGGGGCCTCCACTCCCTCCCCTGCTCCTAGGATCAAGGGGTCTATTTAAGCTCAGTCAATGACTTTCAATTGCGCCCTGAGCTATAGTGTGGGTGTACCTGTCTCCCACTTCATACAGCCATGCCTGTTCCTGGCCATGGACGTGAGACTGGGACCCTGACCCATGGACTGACTTCCCAGTTTGACATTGGACTTGCTGGGTGACCACTGGACTGTGCTTGACCCTGGTTACTGTCATTGGGGCTGACTCTGACCTGCAGTTTGGCTTCCCGGCTTGACCTGCCTTCTCACCATGAATGATCTGGACTCTTCGTTGACCCTGGCTGCCATCCCCAGTCTTGGCTGCTGGTCTCACTTATGTCCTGTGGGACAGAGACGTGGCTGGAGAGCCCTGCTCTTCTGGCCAAGTCCTCCTCAACCCCTCATTCCATAGGGAACTGCCAGCTCTTGCTGGTCTCTGACCCTGGAGAGTTCTCTATGGAGGGGTGATTCTTTGTAAAGACTTGTCTTGGTGTGAAACACTTCTTCAATGAGTAGCACAGCAAAACAAGAGCACGTGGCTTTGGGGATATCCTGTCTGCCCACTGGGCAAGGTAGCACTGTGCATCACAGCTGTGCCTTCCTTCAAATCTTCAGTGTGATAAATAAGTTCTCACCAGCCTATTAGTTGCAAAATTAATTAACATTCCAGCTATGAGATGTGATGTAGTTCTTAACCCAGCAGGCTGGCCAGTCAAGAGCTTCTCTCCATCCCCAGGAAAGGATGTTTGGGGATTTAGGTGTTTGTTTCTTGTTTGCTTTTTAAGCTTCTCATACTTCTAGTGGGTTTTGCTGGGATCAGCAATCTGCCCTGCACTGTGGGGCTTTCAACCTCCCAGGACAAGAAGAGAAACCACTCTTTTCAGAGTCCTTGCTAAACAGGTTCCCTGAAAAATATGAGGAACTGGTGATTGCTCACTCCTTGGAAGCAAAGATCATGACAGATGCATTTACAGAGAAGAAACAATAACAATCAACAATAGACAGGAGGAAATGGCTCCTCTGAGAATAGGAGCCAGACTAAGGGAAGAAAAATGCTTGGGTTAGATAGGTAAGTTTTATGAGAAGGGGGGGAGAAAATGCTGAGAAAGCTAGGGTGGTAAAGGAGGGACAGGGGTTGGGGAGCAGCCCCTGGGGAGGGGATGCACCATGTGAAGAGGCGACCTGTGCAACAAAGCCTCCTCACTGGTAGGACTGTGGTGTAAACTGACTTGCACTGTCCCCTGGGAGACCAGGCCCAGCGAAGCAGAGCAGAGCATTTTGCCATAGGGCAGCTGTCTCAGAGGGAGCAGGGGTTTTGTTGCAAGAGGCATTGCCAGGTCACCCCACTTGCTTGGTGTTCCCGTTAGCGGCTCTGTGTCTCCTCCTGAAGGGCAGGTAAATACGCAGAGGCAAGTGTGTCACAATCTCTGCTGGCTGTTGCTGTCTTGGGGGGGGTGGAGACAGCTGAACAGAGGGGACTAGCCCTCCCAAAGAGGTCTGCATGGGGCTTGTGGTGCAAGAAACCTCTTCTCACCTGTGATATGTACTCTTAATTCAGCACTGTTTAGTACTAAGTCCATCCTGCTCCCCCCTCTTTCCTTGCTGATCTTATCTCAAGCTGATGGCAAATAAAACCTATTTTCCTCCTTCTCTGTGTGGCTCCTAATTTCACCTGACTGCAGATAATGGAGGTTGTAAGCTCTTGCTAACCTTCAGAGACTTACAACAAAATCCTCCCGCATACGCTATGCACCTCAGAGGACAGAGTATAAGGGGTGTTCTGGGGATGGCTCAGAGATGTCTGTGACCTTTTGGAGATCCCCATTTATCACTGAAGAGTAAGGTGGCCTAGCTGTGTTGTCACTGGGAGCCTCTGTTCTCTTGTTTCTTCCCAAATGAAGAGATCTGGGTGACCCAGCAGTCTCCATTATGTTTGCATGCTGTAGCCCCAGAGGAGCTTTATTGGATATACTACATGCAGCTCACAAGACACAGGTCTTTGTCAAAGTAAGAATTCACACCATGTTCCTCTGAAGCTTTTCTGACTATTGTGGAGACAAATCAAGGCTGAAGAATCTTACTGTTGCATAAAATAGAGACAATTGGTTTTTTTCTCCCACACAAAGTCACAGAGGAGTGCTGTTGTGTTGCTTGAGATTTGGGACTGATTAAACTGGAAGTCTGGAACTGGGGAGATGTGAACAACTCAAATCAAAGCTGAAGAAAATTTTCCTGTGATTCCTTGTGAAATATAATTCACTTACCCACATAATGGGTGTTGCATGACTCTTAATTATTGTAAAACCAGAATGTGTTCCTGCTCCTAAACTTAGTTTGCTTTTTTTCTTGCACTTCATGGAGCAATTTCTTCCTTTGGAGATCTTGCATATTGTCTATATTATTGCTGTCACTATTCTGCCAAAGTAAAATGTCAAGTAACATAACCCTGCTTTGATTATAAAGATCCTAAAATTATCCCTAGCTTATCTAAGTTTGGACTTCTAATGTGGGGACTGCATTGGAGCTGACCTGGTGTTGGGAAAGTATTTCCAGCTGTGCAAGCACTATAGGGATCCTTTGTTGAGGCTTGTTCCTACAGCCTAGACTGTCCACAGTGTTGTCACAGGGGGAAAAGATGGGTTCTTAATATGTGTGTGTACTACCAGGTCAAGGTGGATCCTAAGCTCCCTATCACCCTAAATTGATGTGCCAACATGTATATAGAGCTCTTGCATGTACAAGATGTCACCTGTTACCTGCTAACTGAAATGAATAATAAGCTTTTTTTTTTTTTTTTTCTTTTTCAGAATTGTCAACAACCGCTCAGGTATTCTCCTTTGCTAGGCTGTCCTGAGCCAGTATAGCAGGTGTTGGCCTCTTGAGGAAACTCTGCTATCAAGTGGATGTTGCTCTAGGTGAACTCATTTCCCCTTGTTCCTCTTTATCATATGGGTGGGGATTTTGTTCCCTCTGAAAATCATGAATCAGCTAAAGATACACTACATTTCTTTGGGGAGAGCTGACTGTAGTAACGATCTCTTGCTTCCACTCATACTTTTTATTCTATTTTGAGGCAAATCTAGATTACCACCCTGGAGTAGCATTATATTATTATGACTCAAAAATGTCTTTAGGATACATTTCCTTATGTAATGCTGATTTGCCAAACTTACCTGCACATCTGTTCTCAGATCTTTCCATCCAAAACTGAGATGATTTGCTTTCAGATTGACAAAAGAGAATATCAGCTCCTGAATTCTTCTATTCTGGGATCTCACAATGAGACAGATACTGCCTCTAGCTCTAGAGAAGAGCTAATTCTCACATGTGTTGATCTAGGGTAATGGTAACCTCAAACTGCCCATCACCTGCAACATCTAGGAGGGATTCCCACATAATCCCACCTCCCACATCACTGGAAGATTGTGGGATGAGAATGCTTTCCCTCAAACACAGATTCTATCTTATGCAAAAGGCAGGATTTAGATGCAAAAAGGTTTTCTGGCAAATATTATATTCCCAGTGGGTCTGATGTTGAAAGACTGCTACTCTTATATTAGACATCCCCCAACTAGTGGTGTTTACCCTTCAATATATCCACTCATTTAATAAATTAAAAGTAACTACATGTTCAACTAATTTTTAATTCAATATACTACTTATGGTGGATGCTTCCTTCCATGCATCATGGATGCATGATAATAGCATATTCTTTGGGAGTGGAGCTGTGAATTAGCAGCTCTGTGATGGCCATAAGCAGTTATTTTCATCCTTATTTGATTCTGCATGATGTTATTAACCTGATACCTGCTTTCTTCCTGGGATAAACTATAATCAGAACATGGGGAGTAGGAATCCTATCTTCTACTGATTTTGTGTGAGCCTCAGCAAAGTCTTCTATCTCCTCTCTTGTAGTTGAGAAGTAGGCAACTAGTGGAAGTAATTTGCTCCTTGAGTCAGTGTACATGGCTTGACCTGGAGACCTCTGCTTCTTGAAATTCAGAGAGTAATCCTTAGCTACAAGCCTGGATCTGTTATGGAAAACATTAACAGGTAGGTGTCCTCCAAAAAGAGCTGCAGAAAGTTATGTATATCTACCTTTGCAGCTCTTCCTTTTTGAAAAAAAGTTGTCATCATTGATTAAGGATTGCTCTGAATTGAGGGACTTGCTTTAAGATGGCAACCACATTTCTAGATACTGTGAAATGCTGGAGGTTTAAGAGAATGGTGAATAAGCAAAAGCAATTTTACACTTCTAAGAAGCTTGACCACAAAAAATATAGCAGTTGTTGCAAAATGCTATAGCTGAGAAGTGACAATCAGGCTTTTCCAAAGCGTGCTCCAGGTGAGTTTGTTCTCTAGCTGGAAGGTGTAACTGGAGGAATGATTCTGGTCTCTTAACTGAATTAATACACTCTTCCTTCCAACGTTGCTGACACTGCTGCTTTGCTGCTCCCCTTCCCCTCTTCAGTGCTAGAGGAAGGATGGGGCCTGTGGCTGATTCTCTGTGCTGTCTGACAGAAGATGAATTCTGCCAGTACTGCAGAGTGAAATACAGAAGTTAGCTCAGCTTGTGCCTTGTTGCTTTACAGAATCCTTGTGTTGCATAGGAGTGATCAGCACTCACATGGGGTATCTGGCTCCAGCCCAGAATATTGCAAGGGTGGTGGCTCCCTCAGAACGCTGGTAGAAATAGTCTGTGAGGCAAATACCTTGGAGTATGGAAAAAAATTCATTGGGTGTAATGTGAAGATTTGTTAATGGCAATTAAACTTTAGTCTTCATCACAATGAGATATGAACTCTGGGTTGAAAATTTGCTGGTCCACAAAAACAGATCAACAGGCTGGTTGATCTCTGTTCTTATCTGTGAGATATTTTGTTGGCTTTTCCACTGACCTTCTCATGGCTTCTTCAGACAGCTGGATCAGCTTGTCTTCTGCTGGAGTGACCTATTATTTATCAACTCATTATCAAAGGATTTACTAAAACCTTATGACAGAGGCCAAAGGGTCAATATCCAGAAACATCTGCACTTCTTCCATTTTCCCTAGGAGGTGTATTGTATGTGGCATTTGGCCCTTGAAGTAACCTGAGCATATCCAATGCAAGCCCATCTCATCTGTGAACCTGAGACACAAGTGGCACGTGTAAATGGCTGTCTGCCATCATTTGGTTGATCCCGAGTAGGAAGTGTTCACTTGCTTGTGGCTTCCATCTCTTCTGTTATCCTACCCCTCCAGTGAACATAAAGCTCACAGTGGTATTGAAGTGGGAGAAGCACATAGCTGAGAGGCAGCGAGAAGAACCTGCTTACTGCAGTCTGCGTACTCAACTTTCTTACCTCATCATCAAGAAATATTTGAGAAAAAACTCAGTGGCTCAGCCTTTTGAGGTGATTTCTGCAGCTGTTGCTTAGTTATACATAAGGGACCCAGGGGGAGAATACATTCAGAAGTAGTTCTGACAAAATGGAAGATTGAGGCCTGTCAAATAGGCAGCAAATGCAACAACTGAACAGCCCAGTTCATTGCTGGAGAGGAGGAGCTGTGACTTGTTATCTAAAAGAAGGCAAATATTGGCTTTGAGACTTTCAACCAGAACCAGACATGTGATCAGAAAATTATATTTGTTTCTGTCTTCGTCATCAGTCATTCAATGAAAAATAATTACAATGGATTGATCCTCTTGAATCTTTTGAATTTACCATCCCAAAGCCAAAACCCCTCAGGCACACTGCTGCTGCTTTTCTCTTGTAAAAAGGTCACATCTGAGCAGTCCTTCAGAGTTGAGTGTTGACAGAAACAGTCACTCACATCCCAACCAGGGTATCGCATGTGAGACAGTCTCATTAAGGTTACAAAGCTTCTGTAATTTTGGACACCTGGAAACTGAGCAAAATCTTCAGTTGATACCTCAAGATATACTGATTGGTAAGAGACTGTGAAAAAAGGGATGATGTATTATGAATTTGACAATGTGCTTGGTATAAAAAATTGCACTTTTTGAAACTTTTGAACTTTGCAGAGAACTTGAATCTGAAAAATTATATATTTTTTTTTCCCAAGAAAGCTGATATTTTATAAAATAGAAACTTTTTCATAGTAATTGATTCCTCTGGTTCCTTCTGGGTGGGGAGGAACTACAGTATCTTGTGATGCTGAACAAGATGCGCTAATAGTGCTATTAATCCTTTATTTCCCTCTGTGCAACAAGAAATTTATATCTGTTGACGGGCTGAGTAGATTATTGAAATGCTTCCTTTCGGCATTGTGTAAGTCCACGGGAGCTACTGAAATGGAAATCAAGTTCCCAAACCATCACCCACAGGAGGAAGAGAGAGATCTCGATTGATTGTTTTTCGTTAAACAAGGAGATAGAAATGGGCTGAAATTTTGGTGCGGGGAAAATGGGCAAAATGTCTTGAGGATTACAGTTAGTGCTTTTGGTTGTGGAGACATCGTGGAACCCTCTGTTCTTTAGCAGCCAATAGAGTATTTTCCCAGTGAAACACCATTGTGGGGGCATGGAAAACAGGGTCAAAAAACCACAAATAGTGATGAGACTTATCATTGGCAAGAAACCATGTTTCTGAGGGTTTATGGGGAAAGAGTGTCATTTGCTTATTGTGAAAGAGCAAAACAGACTTATCTATGTACCAGCCTTTGAAAAAAATTATGCCATGTCAAAATCCCCCTGCATTCTTTTTCAGTGCAATTGTTTTCTTTTCATCAAGAGTTTGGGGAAGTAAGATGTTGTGGTTTTCATCTCTTAAAGCTGTACTGCCTGTTTGGATGTTTGCCCCACATGGATAAAAATCATTACCAGGGAGACTAATGTTCTTTGTCCATCATCACGTAGTCATTTGTTGTGCAGGACTTCACTGTGAAAACAACTGGAGAGGTTTTTGTCCCTCTCCAAACTCCTGGGGATCTCTGAGCTTCCCCTCTAGCAAGGACAGTTTGAAATGTAAATTGTTCAGGTCAGGGGTTTTTTTTCCTTTGTAGCTTTTATCAGAATGGCATTACCTTTGTATACCTCCTTTTATCTTTACTTTTCCCTCTGTTCTGAGATGTTCCATTGCCATCTGCCCCCAGAAGCATCTGAGGGACCTGTTCCTCTATCCAGTTGTGAAATAAACCAGCCTAGGACCGTGTGTCCAGTGAAATTGTCATTACTTGATCCTGGTCGCAGCATAATGTCTTTTCCAAAGAGATACTTGCTGTGAGAACCAAATACATTTTCACCTTTGAAGCCTAAGCAGCTCTGTCAGAATTAATTAGAAACACACAAGTGCATATGTTCTGGAGTAGCTTTTTGCTGTTTTTTACTAAATGAATCTTTGAGAAAATAATTTTTATTGCAATGCTGACTGTTCAAATTGAAAATTATGATGCATTTTTGCCAGAGCTGGGCTTCTAGATGATGGGAGGTGTTAAATACATAAGGTGTTGCTGCATGGCATGTCATCCTACCTCTAGCTCCAAAACCAGAGAAGCTAGTTGCTAGATTTTTCTTTGTCATAGGATGACTGCCTAGCCCTAAAACCGTAGAAGAGCTTAAAATTTATAAGTATACCCCAAAAGCATGGTTGAGTGTATCACTGATGACAACACACTCAGAGCTAATTGTACTGTTGAATTTGTTAACAGAGTTTCAGGGGAAACTTAGATTAAGCTACAGCTGCTGTGAGCTAGGCACAGTGGCTGTGGAAAACATGCTCCATCTGCCTGTCTCCAGAGCTGCTTTTCTGTCCCTGGATCATCAGTAGCTGAAGGATTCTGCTCGCCATCCCTGAGATTCAAATGGAGAAAACTATCAGAACTTGTAAATCTTGGTTTCCAAAATATATTTTGCCAACTCTGCTGAGCAGGGGCTTGCAGTGTAATGACACATTGATAAACTTGTGCTCTTAGTGAAACCAGTGGTTGTATTGTAAAGGAAAGGTGAGTGTGGAAAGGGGAGAAAATAATTAATTTTGAGGTGGCCTTCCCCAGGGCACTTCAGTTACCTTAAAACCTCTAGATCAAAAGGTACGAAGGAAGGAGCAATCTGCAAGACAAAAGAGCATGAGAAATGCAAAGCACCAATGACTGGGAGTGCTGGAGGAAAAGTCCTTCCCACTGTCCTGGGAAGCCCAGCACTAGCACACCGCAGAGGAAAGGGGGAAGTGCATCTGTCCTGGGCAATGTCTGCAAGGGAAAATTCTTTCTTGGACTGAAGTTTAGTACGAGGGGACAGGTGAGACATTCCTCAGTCCGCCCTTGAAAGAGGAAATTGAAAGCAGAGATAGGAACAAGCTGTGGGCAGTTTGAATTGCTTTAATTATTCAGTTAATTTTGCACCAGTGTGGGTGATGAGAAGATGGAGAGTTTTGATAATGCAGTGAACTATTACTAGGGAATCCTTAAGACTTTTTGATGACTTGCCTGATGAAAGGACTGTACTGAAATGAAGACTAGAATCATTGTAGGAACCCTTCAAGTGCTGGGTTCAAGAAAGATAGTCACTAATGCTTGGGAAAGAGGTTTTCCTAAGTTCCTAGGCTAAACTCACCTGGGCTTTTCTGCTTGCAAGGTACTGTTACTCTTTTAAAGCATTTAACTCCCCAGTTGTGTGTGGTCAATCTGGGGTTTCTTATAGGGTGCACCTGGACTCTACTTTTCAGAGCATTGAACTGAATGATGCCATCCTTTCTGAACAGCGACTGGGGAGAAGCAGTGACAGCAGATGGCTTAGAGGATGTGAGCACGAGCAGCGACTGTGGCTGACTTTGCTAGCCCAGCAGCCAGGGAGAAGGGGACAAGATGGGCCTAGCCATGGGTGAGTGAGGTGACCTGCTTTGCAAAAGCTTGGGCAGATAGCATCATTTCTTACATTGCAAAGGATTGTCTACCAGAGTCTACTTCCTGGTCTCAGCTGTAGATACCAGGAGAGGTCTGCATGCTTTCAGTAATGCTAAAGAAGTTCAGGTTTTCCCTGCTTTCCTGTGTGGTGACCCCGGACCCAGGCACATCTAAATAGGGCTGCCTAAAATGCATATGAATAGGGTACTTAGAGCCCTTAACTTTGTAAATAACTATTTATGAAGGCTTTTGAAATGTAATGATTCTGTCAGCAATACTATATTCAGACTTTCCACCCTCCTCTTTGTGCTCAGTTGCAGAACAACATAGAAGTAGCCATATAAAGCTGTGCTTGAAATAAAGCCTGGCATACCAGATAGATGATTTTGTGGCCTCAGCCACCTGGTGTAAGGCAAGGTTGCCAGGGTCATGGCAGGCTGAGTCATCTATGCCAGTGGTGGGATTCACTAATTGCAGTGGCAGGTGATAACCATTACTCTTGATTTGGTGGCTTGGGGAGCAAGGGAAGAACTTAGATCTGAGTCAGAGCGGGGAAGAAGGGCTCTGAAATTAAGTTAGAGTTGTGCTGGTTGAAGAGGTTTGAAGTTTCTTCGATCTAGGAAGCTTGGTCACTTTGCAAGTGTGAGAAGGGGAGAGAAGGGCAAACACACCTGGCTTCTCATGCATGTGGTAGGTTTCTACTATGTTTGTTTTCCTTCAGTCTCGGAGACTGACGGACCCTAAACAGTGTGAATCTGTGGGTCTGTGTATGTGTTTAAAGGCTGGGACCAAGCTGTGAAGGCATCTCTCAAGGAAGAGTATTTTTACTGAGAACTCTGTGGGTAATGAGTTGAGATCTGCCTCAGGACATGTGATGTGCTGGGTGCTGTCTGGAAGCAGCATCACCCTGAGAGCTCCTAAGCTAAAGGTGAATGTGAGTAAACAAGTGATCTGAGTTTTATTGGCTGGTTATCTTACGCGTATCTGGGGAAAGAGCTCTACCTTCCTATCCAGTTCTCAGCCCTTCCCCACAGGCAATTCCATCTCTCTGGTGCTTGCTTTGGGACTTCATGCCCTGGTTGTTCAAGTAATAGGTCTGTTATTCCTGGCTCTCTGTTCTTGAGTGCTTCCCCAGGTTAATGAAAGAAGATGAGAGCTTCTCTGACCATGCTTTTGTTTGATGTGCTTCAGGAAACTCTACAATTTCAGTTCATGTACATGAAGAGAGTGGTGTTGGATGTTGCTGGTGGAGAGGCAGGCCACATGGTAGCAGGGAATACAGTGCAGTTCCCCTGCCCAAATACAGCACTAGTGGCTGGACCCTAACCTGTGAGTTATTTGGGTAGCTGTTCACTCACAGGATGCGCAGGTCTATAGTACTGTGAAAAACTCTGGAGACACAGGTGTCAGGTGGATAAGCTGGTAGGGAGCTGGAGTTTTCAAAATATGGGAATTGAGACCTGAGACAACTGTTGCCCTGCGGGGAAGTCTTGAGAATGGGAAATGAGTTATTTCTTCAGGTTATCTCCTTGTAAAGTGCTGGCTACAGAGGAACCAGGATGGTAGAGGATGATAAGAGGTGGCTGCCCAGGTCAGCAGGGGAATTGAAAACTCAGGAGTCCCAGTCTCACAGGACTAAAATCCAGGAGCACTAGAACAGGGCCAACACAGGAGGCTGTTCCTAGGATCTGCTTATAGCTGAGATCTGTTAAACCTGTGTGAAAACCCTGCAGCCAAAGAAGGTGTCGATCAGGACCGCTCAGCAGCATGAGGGGAATTCACAGTCCCCTTGCTT